CTAATAGCGGTAATTACACGTCATTTTAAAAGTTTATGTCCAATACAGGATTGATAACTCAGCCCGGAACCGTCCTGTCAGGACGGTCTGAACCCGGACATGATGGAATATTAATACACCTCCATCATACTGCAGCTGGCCAGCAGCATTGTCGGACATGTAATTTCGACATAATCATTCTGCCAGCAATAACGTTGGTTCACGTAGTCCAGCGGAGGTGATCGAATGCACCATAAACGGATCCATTTAATAATTTACTATCGAAGGAACTACTTATTAACGAGGTAGACACCCCTTCTGAAGCCAGTCCTCGCCAAACGCATTCAAAGACCTGTCGTTGTCATGGTCGATGTGGAAAACTCTCAGCTTGAAGAGCTCATAAATGCTCGTCGAACTTCATGAGCCTTTTTTGGGTTCCTATCGTCCCAAAGCCGTAAGTCACTGTAGGCTCTCGTCCTATCTCGTACCGATACTCGTGCCATCGAAAAATTTAAACAACTTTTGGGGAAACTTCCCCATTCCTCACTACTCTCTTCACGACGATCAGGTAGGTATTCACGAAGCTGTTCGCATAAAATCTTTCTGATTGAATGCCACGTGTTCCCAACGTTACCCGCACTCATTGGTGAGGAGAGGTAACGAACATTTTTACCAAAGGTTAAGGCCTGAGTGCACGAGTCTCATTTAGGGGAGATAAGGGGGCTTTTAAGCTAAAGAGCTCTTTTTTCCCTTGGAGTTCATGTATTTTTAAAGGACCATTAACTACTGTAAAAGAGGTTTCAGCATTGGGGCCTATACACACGATGTCGACGGGCTCTCTTAATCCCTCGTGTCAATTTTCCCTATCCTAAAATGGTATCATATTAGTGCCTTGAAAATTTAAACGTGATGGGATTCCCCAACGAGGGAGTTCCCGTCGAGAAATTTTGCGATCTGCAAGAATCTCTTAAAAGGCTTTCCATGATCTCCCCGGAGATACTCGCAAAATTGATGTGCCGATCGGTCGTCTGACGCGGCGGGTGGTACTTAACGCAAGTTCCTCGTCGTACTTTTATTACCGACAAACTGTCTCACCGTTACAAAAGAAATGGAATTTGGTTCGGAAGGTTTGTAATGGTCAATGGTCAATTAACACTAACTTTCATTATTTCTGGGCAGTCATCTGTCGCCAAACGGATTGAGTTTGATCAGTCGCGGGAACGCTACACTGACGAACTGGATTGCTCTAATCCTAAAAAGTCGGCATTAAATCGATGATTTTCCAATCCCGAAAATGCGAAAGGTTAATTCGAAATTAATATTTAATTGCACCGCTTTCCCCTGACAAAGGTCCTTGAGAATACAAGATGGAATACCAACAAGACGATATGCCTTTCCCGTTGTCAGCTTCCGTATCGTACTGAATGTCTCGTTTCATAATCATGAAATTCATTCATCTTTGTCTCTATAACATGGGCTGATCTGACATACCCAGGGCAATATATTGTCAAAAGCCTCCGTTATTACATACGGGAACAGTGGACCGGCACGGTCAATTTATTGGCTCAGGCAGTTCTCTGGCACGGCCCAGAGGAGTTTGATTTGTCAAAGAAAAAGGGGGAAAAGAATTCAGACAAGATGACGATCTTGTCTGAATTCCGTAGCATGCCATGACCCCAGGATGGAGACGAGAATGAATCGAAAGGGAAAGCTGACGATGGAGGCATGCGGGAGAAAATTTCCATGGAGAGGGAGGAAGTGCCTGCTTAGAACTATCAACAGAAGGTTCAAGGATTTTTGGCTCTCCAGTACGCTTCCAGGACTCAACAACGCGGGAAGACAACAAAATACCGTCCTCAGAGTGGTGAGTCTTGCGATTTGCATGGAATCATTGCAGCCAATGGAACATTTTAATATTTGCATGCTTTTCATATGAGCTGAATTTCATGGTTACATTTGTTATGTTCGCGTGCTGAATACGAAGGGTTTTCTACAAGAGAGAGGGAAGCTAGGCAATTATGAACATCAACACGGAAATCAACTATACTATTAGACATTATATTAACTGAGATCATGACCATACAACAAATACATAGTTTGACAAGCAGCTCAAATCCATTCAAGGTTCTTATAGACACCCAACCGTCCAACCAGAAGTTATAGCCGTTTTTATATTTCTCTTAGTTTTGGATTGTGGTGTTCCTGGTTGGGGCTGCAATGACAGGGTACTCAGTCTACCTATTGGTCATGGATTACCTTTCCTATCCGGTCATTACGACCGTATCTATGAGCCACACACGGAAGATGACCTTCCCGGCCGTCACCGTCTGCAACTCCAATCCCATCGTCTGCTACAAGCTGGCTCAACTCCGAAATTTTCTCCCCGAGTTATGGAATGTATCCGGATGCAAGATTGAAGTCTTTCTGCTCAATCCCGTTTATTGGCTCCTGTCACCCGACTTTCATCGCGAGGAATTCAAGATAGCACTCGATGGGTATCTACCTGGAATTTTCATTATTATTACCTACCATAAAGCATCTGTCCAATGCACAGTCACAGTCCCAATAACAGGTAAGTAAGCCTAAGTCTGGAGAAGTCCACGGGTCTTTCGATAAATTTTGAAAAACCTGATCCTGAAACGAGTCCGTGAACGAGACTCTTTCCGCTGACATTTAAATTTTACCAATGCCGCAGAGAAGTAGACTCGATTTGACGCGGCAAGGCGTACTGTTGCCCGTACGTGACCACACACAACGCATGACTGATGGTCCCCAATAAGACGATTGGTTGATTGATTGATTTTGAGTGAAAATACGAGGAAGCAATAATTTCTGTTCTCAAGAGGGAGTCAAGTCAAGAGTCAAGAGAGTTAGTGATATCAAGAGGCGATTTCGCCCATTTCGATATCACGTGTCGAGGTCGAGCGTTCCTTAATTTTAGGGTAGGCCTAACCCTCTTAAAGCTAAATATTTTTGTATTTATTTTTGACTATCCTAGTTGCTTACTGTCTAGTACCTAACGTCAACATTGCCCCCCACCTTTTTGCCTGTCCATGAAAGCATCTAGTTTCTTCTTAAAGATAGTCACAGCGCGGGGCAGCCACTACTTCGTCATCTAACGCATTCCACGCGTTCACCACTCTGCAAGTAAAGAATTCTCGACCTGAGCCGCACCTGCGGGAGATAGATACATGCAAACCGAAAAAGTCGAAACATATATACACTAATCACTGTGCAATGAGAACGTCTATTTAGCAGAGCTTTACTCGTTTCAAGCACTAGTAGAAGTCTCTTAAAGATGATTCAGATGCAAGGTTACCGGCGGGCAGAGGATCCGCGGAAATCGTGAACGAAGGGCCAGCACTTGTGCGAGAAGTCAAACGATACTCTTGTCGGTCGCGTAGAGATACCAAGCTCTCATTCCATCGTCAGTGATCATCGTTACGTGCCGTTGGCGACGGATCGTTAGGACCAAAAACGCTTCATACGAAGCCAAAAAGAACGTCGCAACTTTCTCTCCTTCCTGAGTTCCATGACTCTGGTGCCACGTCAAACCAATGCGCCTCTCGTTATTTTCTACCAACGATTGGAGGATCACCTCAAAGGGCGTCGTCCTGCCAGTCACGCAATGATTTAAAGGGCCACGATCGGGGCACTATATGAGACAAAGAACGGTTTCTATCGTATGATTTGAACTGTTTCAACATTGAAGAAGGCACGCACAAGTGCATGCATGAAGGGACATCTTTGAAAAGGGAACAGTTTAGATTAGGGCTGTCAATCGATTAAAAAATGTGATCGATTAATCCCGAGCCATTTAATCGACTAATTGGTCGATTAATCGCATTTTAATCAATCCTTTAGTTCCTTCTTGAATCGTGTCCTAGGCGTTGGGAATGATTCTGCTTGTGTCATGCCCAACACCTGGGCGAGCCTCAGGAAGTGACTCAAGACGATGCAGTCGCTAACATAGCAGTTACTATCCATACATGCACTAGTTCATCCTACAAGTGACACATTCCAGCCGGAAAGAAAATACTTACAACTTAGCCAGATAAATAATGAAACGTAAGCAAAGAAGCGCACTGAGGCCCTTTGCCACTTAGCCAACCCATAACGGAGGGATGCAAAAATGTAACATAAATGATTGGACGTACACTGTGACACTTTATTTAAAGAAGATTTAAAGATTCGTTAACGATTTACGGGCAATACAGGATGGAAGAGAAAACATAGAAGCAAACAAGGAATAGGAGAGGGTTTCCACTTCTCTCGCCTGCCCCCAGCTTTCCACTTCTTTATTTTCCGGGGCTCACACAGACGTTCGCCGGTGCACTTTACACGTACGCCTCTCGCTCCCCAGCCTTTACATTATCCTCTTTCCTGCCTCTCCAGTCCCATGCCCCTGCCCAACTCTCCTCTTCCTTCTCTGCTCTCTCTCGCAGCTTCTTCATTACGACTTTTTTTTCCCCAATAGCATCCAGTGACATTTCGGTCGTTCTGCCCTAGGCGCTGTTACCTTAGCCTGACGAGCGAGACCTGAAAGGCTATGCCTTTAAAGGCTGTAGGCTAGGCAGAAGGACACGAGATGCGTACCAGTACGCTTGTGGATGCGAAGGGGTCAGTAAACTTTATTTTTATAGTCTGAAAGCGATGGCTTTGTTTTTGTGAGTTCCCCTTTTCCAAAAATAGTAAGTCGTTTTTGAGGAAGAGTGAGCAGTGCGAAAACGGCTACCTTCTAAAAGCCATCATTTCATTTCATTCCCTTGATAAAACACTTGTTTTCGGTTGTTTTGCAATACTATGAACTACACGGTAAAATTATAAGGGGAGAAAGAGGCATGCAGGGGGAGATTAGGGGATCGATTAAAATTATATTAATTTCGACTAATTTTTAAATCGCGATTAATACTTTCATCGATTAATGGGCCAATTAATTTAATCGAATTGACAGCCCTAGTTTAAATACATGAACGTGAAACCACTTCTAGGTTGAAAAATAAGTTAGAGAAGACTGTCGAATGTGGTTAGCAATTTCCTGTTGTGACAATTCCTAATTTTTTGCATATTTCTCCCCGATTCCTAAAAATGGATTGCTGCGATGTTGCAGGTATCTCAAAGATGTGAAGAACATGACTGAGCTGGTATTCACTGTAGTTGACCAAGACTTCAAGTACATCGAGAATTCGCCTCTCCTGGAGTTCATGTTGGGCACGAACCCACTATCCCAATTGGGTGCATTTCTAGAGAGACTATTGTACGTGGCACCGTATGAGTTTAGGGATAGAAACAGCGGCAAGGCCTTCGACGTCCTCATGTCCTATATTATGGGTAATTTTTCTCACCAACGAATTTCTCTCATCTCTCCGGAACTGTATCATTGCATTCTAATTCAGCTGGAGATGAATGGAGTCTCCTGTCCAACGCATCAAATGCCACCAAAACAACCTCTGAAATCATGTCAACCACCCCATCGAATTCCAGAGGCGAATCAGCGAATAACCTGCATTTTCTTCAGGAGGCAAGTGCACTTCCAGCGAACGATCTATATTTGAAGGAAAAAAAATCATCTGAGCAATTCGAATCAACATGCCCTTCTCCTATTCAGAAAACGACGTCCTCACCACCGCCGAGCATTAAAGGAATTATTGTTCATCAGAGCGAACTTCATGGACTTGGAGTGGAAGACAGCTCCGCTGCGACCGAAGACTACTTGAATGTGTGTAAAACTGAGTCTCTTTAAGTTTGACTTGTATTGCCTGCTTAGCTGCTAATACAAGGTGAATAGATCTCGCTCAGAACAGTGGCACCTAGTCACTGCGTAGTGTTGCTATTTTTCGTTCACCCTGTAAATTATTTTTCTTGAAATTTTGGGTTTGCAGTATGTGAAATTGCTGGGAGCCTTCTCTAATGCGGATGAGACGCTGAAGCGGAAGATCGTGAATACATTGGTGAATTTCATTTGGAAATGCACCTTTCAAGGCACCGACTGCTTGCAGAATGAGTAAGTCCTTCATTATACACCAACCGACAAAAAAAACACGACCAAGAAGCAGAGCGATCTTTGTGAAACTCGGTACGCAGGCTCGAAGCAGTATATTATACAGATTTTAGAATCAATTTAAGTCTTAAGGGCGTGAGGTGAATTTTCACAGAGAAATCTTGCAGAACCCTTCAATTTAAAGGGGGTCGCACTAATCAATCTAAACGGTTACCCAGAGTGAATTTATGGAAGAAACACGGGAGGAGAACTCCTATGTGTGGAAAGATCAAACATACTTTCCAAGTCATAGAATTAAGTAATACAGAGAAAACTTGCCAGACAGGAAGAATGGACGAAGATTGCGGTGGCATTGATGATGCCAGTCTTCCCTTAAGGAAAAATCCTATAGGATCCTATGAGATTTTTGAAACATAAAAATCTTATAGGATTCCTATAGGATCCTTTACGAATCCTATAGGAATCCTATAATATTTTTATGTTTCAAAAACCTTATAGGATACTATAGGATTTTTCCGTAAGGGTTCTTCACTTTTCCCACAAGCCCCTTTGCTACAAGGCAATGGAGTGTTTATCTGCGAAGCCATGCAGAAATTATTTTCTCTGGAGGCGATTTCAACATGTTTTTCAAGCGTGTGAGCGATGGAGCCTTTTTGATATGCATCAGCCTCAAGCTGATGAAGTTTCAAAATCTCCCTTTTCCCATTATCCCATGATTCAGTTAAAACGGAGCACTAAGGAGGAGTTGGTCGGAAAAGCCATGGCACCTATGACATGCACCGCCTCTTCATTGGCACTTATAGAGCACCTCAAAATGTCATGCTGTTACACCATCGCATGTGATAAAAGGACAATCGTAGTAGTAGCTATTATCCCCATCTCTTCTATTGATAAGAGGAAAACATGCACAACTGCATCTTCATCAAAAATTTTCTTTCCAGTAATTTCCAGATGATGCTGATTCCACAATATGGGGCTTGCTTCATGTTCAACACGGCCTGGAATCCAAAAGATACCATTGCAGGGAGGAGGGTATCGAGCAAAACTGGAGAAGAAACAGGTCAATTTTAGCCAGACATAATTGGTTCCTCCTCTCCATCACCTTCTCATCTAGATCCCAGACACACTCTTTGCTTTTGTATCTGTGTATCCCACGTAGGGTTGTCTCTAGAAATATACGTGGATCGGATAAACCACATCAACAGCCCAACGGCATCGAGTGTAGGAGCCCGAGTGACCATTCATTCCCCGAATAAATGGCCCAATCCCGTGGAACAGGGATATCTCGTTCAGCCCAACACTCGCAATATCTTTGCCTTGCAAAACGTATCTCAACAGTATCCACTGCATCTGTCTGGTTTCCCTTGTTTGGTGGGTTCCATACATCTCAAGTATCGCCATGATTTCAGGTGAACATGTCCAGGCTGGAGAGTCCCTACAGCACAGACTGTTTATCGGACTGGAGTCGTACTGACTACAAACCCTTTTATTCTATGGAAAATACGAAGGCCAGCCTCGACTACAGCCTAGTCGTGAGTCACACTTTTTATATCAAGCCAATTCATTCTCATGCAGCCTTTCAAGAGTGCAGCACTAAACTTAAAAATTCCAGATACTTTTCACGCCTGCTACTTCAAATGGAATGTGGAATACTTTTACTCTCTTGAAGCATAATGTAAGAAAGAAATGCATACTGCCAGCAGGCAATGTGTTTATTGCCTGCTGTCTCGTAGCAATGCGAGAGGCTGAGGGAGACTGCCGAGATTGCAAAGACATGCCATTGTCTCAACCCCGAAATCCAGGACAATTTTCTTGACAACGGGAAATCCTATCAGAGCTATCCGAAGTGCAATATCAGCATAGGAGGTGAGTTCCTCAATCAAGAAATGCAAGGAAATCTCGGACTAGATTCTTTTCGAGGCAGCCCTTACGGAACTTCCAAATACAGGCGTATGTATAGGATTGTACAGTACTGACTTTAGCCTTGTTTGGAAATAGTTCAGTCCTTATCATGTTTTGGCCATTCTTAATAAATATGGAAATGTATATGGTTCATATATAGACCCCCAAATATGGTGCTAGGTTTGCAATGTATATGACACTAACATAAACTATACGGAAAAAATACTGTATTTGGAATATTTTTGGAAACTGTTCAGCCCATGTACTGTCCATGGATACACACGCATGCACGTTGAGGCCTTCCATATGGCCTGACATCTTGCAGTTCTCACAATATGAGCGAGGTCGCGCTCATCCCGCCGCTATATGTCTCCCGTTTCCTCAAATGCTAATGAATGATTCTGCAGAAGCTTTCACCCTCAACTCGATAATTTCCCACGTACAAACCGAAGAAAGGAAGTCGTTCTAATCAATGAATATGTTGAGAGACGTAACCTAGCTTCAGGAGGCTCTAGGCAATTCTTGCCCGATGCATAGAAGGAGTGAGGTTCCCCTTGTGACGTGAGTCACAAAAACCCATCCAGGTTTCATTGTCGAGTGACTGCCTCTGAGCCTCTGCTTCAATCTCCAATTAATAATGCATGCGGGGGCCACCTATTAATACTAGTATATTGCAGATTAAGAATATGTAGTTGCATATATCCATTATATTAAATATGACCAAAACAAGCCAAATATTTATAAGTGCCATGTATTGAATACATTGTAACTAAGCACCATATACAGGGCTTATATATGAACCATCTATAGTTCCATATTCATTAAGAATGGCCAAAACATTATATGGTCTGGACGGCTTCCAAATACAGTCTCCCATATGTAATCTTTATTTGTACTATGCACATTCCGAGCTAAGCACCCCTGTATGGCCATATTTGATAATTCGCACGAAATCTGAATATGGAGTTCCCGTAAGGGAGGCCTGTGAGTCTTAATCCCTGGTCTTCGAGACATCTCGTCCGAGACATGCAACGTTAGGCCAATCGCAAAGCAGCATGTCTTCTCACCTAAAAAACAAGGGCATCGACTCTTCCGGACTGAGAGGTATTACTGCTGCGTGTCAAGAATAATTCTAAAACTAATCCTAATGAAAATCTTGCGAAAGTCCCATTTCTACATCGTTGCAGCTAAAAATGTTCTTCCTCCTCGACGCACCTCGTAGGAACTGTTCCAAGACACGTTTACACGGGTTCATTAAGACACGGAGAAGGGAGTTTTCAAACCGCGTGTGCACTTCAAAGGATAATCGAGAAGACCTTGAGGAAAGACTCACCAAAAATTTCGAGTTGAAGAGTACAGTTGTGTGTCCTCGGAAAGCACAAAACTACGGAACAAAAATCATCAGACCAGTTTTAAGGGCGAAACTCTGCGCGCACGGTAGCACAGTACTTCGGTGTTCGCGGCACAGATTTCATGGGAATCCGGGTTCTCCCCCCCCCCCCTCCCCATAGACGAAAAAAAGATTCCAGAGAAACAGGACTTACAAAAGCTACAAGGGTTGAGCTCGAGGGGAAAGAAGGGAAACATTTTTTTAAGCACGTTTCTAGAATAATATTAATAACGTTCATTCCATGCGAGACCGATAGTCCTGCTGAGTTCGTCATGATATCTGTAAATACAAATGTACATACTCTCAAAAAGGAAGCGAAAGGGGGCAAGAAAAAAATAGCAAAAAAAGTCAGCAAATAGCCAGAACTGGACAGGACGAGCCGAAGCTCGTCTGGAAGCTGGAACATAGGAATCTAAAGGAGTGAGGGATGAGAAATTGACAAAATGAGGAGTGTGATAAAGAAAAAGTCAAAATAAGGATTGAACGAGGAAAAAAAACATGCAAAAGCAAAAAAGGGCGGGATGGGACTACACGCTCAAATGAAAGAGGAAACTCAAGAGGACAGTGAGAATGGAAACCTGCCGTGAGGCAGGAGGGGAAGTTACCAGGTAATATCGGAGAATTCTGAGGATGAGTAGAGGGGTTGTGAGAGAAAGAGTTCTTTTAACTCATTCCGGAAGGTTGAATGTCTGAGTCGTCGAAATGACCTGGGAGAGATTTCAAGTATTGCGGACCCCCAGAGAAGTGTGTCCGCCAGAGCGGATGAGTCAATCGTACGATGGCTTCGTTCTTAGAGACGATTGCATAGAAATAGACGCTTGTGTGATAGAGTGGCTGGGGAAGGTGAATAATTTGAATTTAGTAAAGAGAGGGCGACATGTGGTACGGATTGACTCGTGGAGGATGATTCCGACCGTACGTTTCCGGAGCGACAGGATGCGACAGACAGACATGACGCGTATAGCAATGACCCCAAGCAAGTACTCCATAGTTCAAGTGCGGGTAGGCAAGAGTGTTGTATATATTTTTAAAATCTCCCTGAGAGAGAATACAAGAGCGACAGGATAGTGAAGCTGTAGCATATTTCAAGAGGCGACAGACGTGGTCCACCGGTTCATAAGCGTAGCGTGGGTGCAAAAAAGAGGGGGGGGGGGGCACGCTAATAGATTCCAGAATCTAGAGAGGGTGAGATCTAAAAGCATGGGAAGTATACTGCAACGGAAGAGAGCAGACGTGAAAGGACTTCTAATTGCGTCACGAAAGCGATTCGGATCAGTAGATGGAATTAGTCCTGGTTGCTCCTCCGCGTTCAATGACATTTTCCGTGTTCCCGAACTATTTGTGCCAGATGATGCTCCTTTCCTCCAAGTCATCGCGAGGAACGGAAGTTCTCGCATAATTTCAATTATGCAGAACACGTCAGGGAATAAAGCTCCCTCAACCGAGCCTGTAGATTGGCTTCGTCATCTTTTAAGGAAAATATTTTCATTTTTCCTTCCACGTGCCCTTCCAGGAAAGAGCAGGCCAGGATTGCAAGAAATCTGTGCCTCGAGCCTCGAACAGTGGTGTCATCGCGTGCGTCAAACAGGGATCAGGTTTGAAACTTCGCATCTGAAACGTGTCTCCATTGCTGCTGCCTGACTTCCGATAAGGACATAAACTTCTGCTCCTCCGCAACTAGGAAATAATGGGCGAGTCTTTCCTCGACGTATTCTTGTTGACTATCCTTGAGGATGTAAAAGCGGTTGGCAAACTCCCACTGCCGAGTATTGGCGAGCCCACGTAAAACGCAAAGTCTAGGAACGGTTGCAACGACCCTGGCAGCGCATCTTCGTTGGGCCAACTTTTGAATACCAGATTAGACCGACATGAAAACGCTCACATGCGGCATGACTTTCAGGCTCTGAGTAAGCTCCATTTGTACATAATTCTTTATCTCATCTTCCGGGGACTTAGCCACCGAGTTTCTCTCAGTTTTGGATGGCAGAACTTCCAAGAGAGTACTACTTCTCTCGATCGCCTGCTGAGGTCTCCACTTTCCGTACAGGTTTCGAATGGCAAACCCAGTCAAAAATTTTTAATCGGGCCATCCATGGCTTTTTGTCGACGCATCTATAGGCCGTAGTTGGGCCAAAACTGGGATATGATTGTCTTACAGTTAGTTTAAACCGGCTTATGGTCGGGCATGTCAATGAGCCAAAGTTGGCCCAACATTGGGCCAACTTTGGCTCATTGTTAGGAAACCGCACGTGTCTCAACCATAAGCCGAAAAAACCGACAGGAGACGCATCTATAGCTTTATGCCTCTTGGAGAAATTCGAATGCATCCTTTGGCCCCCTCCTGCTCCTACATCCGGGAGAGATGAAGGATAGGTACCTTGCCCGAGTATCTTACACAGGTACACACCTATCACCACTAGCTGAGTTAAACCTCTACCCGTGCGCTATCAAGGGAAAAACGTATTACCTCCAAGGGGGCGCCAGACTTGGTCCCAGGGGCGCCCCCTGTAAAATACGCCACTGCGAACGATGCATCTAAAAAAACTAAGGGTTCAAGTGCGTATCCAATAATACCCAGTGCAACTATCGATGCCAAATAAATAATTAGGTGGGCTTAACAGAAAGGCTTGAATGCAGGCATTAACAAAGGTATTGCAGATGATTTATTATGGACAATTGACATCATAAAGCAGTTCCTTCATTTTAATCGTAAGGGTGATAATCTAATTCATATTATGGCGTTTGACATGCTGGCTCGAAAATAAAGTTAGTGCCGGTAGTAGAAGGCATACGATCATTATTCTGGCCGAGATGAAGTGCCTCTTTGAACTTGCAGGAAAATGTGTAATCTAGGTTAACATGAACAAGGGTTTGCCCGTGCAAGTTCAACCTGCATGCCGTGTTGGACTGTTCAAATTCACCTACACTCTTAGAAAAAGGGGTCCCGATTTTTCTCAAAAAAGAGAGTAAAATCGCTAACTCCGGCTTCACTCCCCTTTCACTCTGGGAAAGGAGCGAATTCGCTCCATCATCAAGGAGTAACATTGCTCTCCTCCTCCACGCTTCGCTCCTAAAGAGATAGGGATGTCATGCAAATACACAAATTCTCATATATACTTTCTGTCGCTTCCGCTCTCGTACAGTACTGGCATTGACCTATCTTTGACTGTATTGATTACGGTACATGTCAGAGGATGGTCCACCTCTTACGGTTCCATGAAGTGTCCGCGATATCAGTCTTTCCTTTCCTCATTTTCTCAGGTCGAGAAAGTGATAAGATCGAGTTCATGGACACCACCTTTGCAGCCTGGATCTTCTATGCAGATGAAATTCTTCCGAGTTTCAAAAGGGTTCTCATCAGGAAAATGAGCTTGTTTATGGCCTGGGCCCTATGAATCTGTTTTGAACATTAACACATGATGGGAAGTCCGTGTTTATTGATTCCTATAATGAAACTAAGCGAGACAAATGTCAAGGTACAATACAATCCTGCGAGGGACGATACCAGAGAAAGAGGGAAGGGAACTTTTGTGTACAGTGCGAAAAGCGAGACCTTTACCTCCATCTAGTGGCCTGGCGAAGAACTTCAAGATGTTCACTTCACTACGAGCGATGGGGGAGCACTTGGTGAGTAAAAAGAGAGTACATTTGAAATAGCTCGCATAGTGTTCAGTCTTTACTCCC